AACGGAACAGAGTCAGTTCTTTTTGAAGAAGGAGGCGTTTTAGATACCCAAATTCGAGGTTTACATGGTTATTTCAGCAATGCCTTTTTTAGGAGTAATGGCAGTTGAATTTGGTTGTTTTGGCTTTTCCGGAGTTGAAGAATTGTTTTCTTTTTTTTTATCATCAGATTGAGTAGTAGCATAACTAGGATAATAACCACTGCCGCCGCTGGCTGAATAAACATTATCGTTGGTTGAAGACTTTGAATTGTCTTGCTCTGAAGTAGAAGTATTATTATTTGAAGTTGGCTGATAAGTTGGCTGACTAGTACTATCATTTTTATTATCGTAACTATCGGATTGAGATTGAGAAGAATAATATTCTCTATTTGAATTTTGTTGAGTTTGTATTTGTTGAAGTGCTTGGTCCTTAGTTTTCTCCAAAGGATTAAATTTATAGCCACTCAAGATTGCATATTCATTATTAGTAATTCCTGGAGTATGAGTATCACAAATTTCTTCACTATTCGCAGTTCAACCATTATCATAAGCAATTCGAGCATCTTTCGGAGTAAAATGTTTATTCATTCAAGCTAGAATTTCCTCTTTTCCATCGTTGATATTAGGATACTCATCTAAAAGTCGGTTGCTCCTTTTTGGTGCTCCGCTGAAACTGTAAATATAAGCATCATATTTATTATTATTTAAAGGATTAATATCTTCCTCATAGTTAGCACCACCTCAAGTAATTTTTCCCTGGTATTCACCACCAATATCTCCTAAATCTTCATAATCTCAGTAATTATCATAAGCCTTTCGTGCTTCTTGAGCATCAAGTTTTTTATGTCAATTATAAATTTCGTTATAAAAATTTTCTTCTGGCAAAACTCTTTTTTCTTCGGGTGGATTTTCCCCATTTCCACTTTGAGAGAAGACATGACAGTATTCAGCCTTAGCAAAGGTTTCATTCTCTCAATCATAATCTTTTCAAGTAGCAGCGTTGTTTGGAGTAAAATTAATTTGTTTTTCGTCTTCATCATTAATTCTAATTTGGGCGGGGTTAACTCATCCTTGGTTTCAAGCCTTAAAAGCGTTTTCCGCAGTAATTTGATGACTACCGTCCGGACTAAATTTATAGTAAGCTAAAATATTAACATCAGTAAGCTCAGAAAGGTTTTCTAAAGCACGAAAATCATTAATGAAAGTTTTATCTTTTTTGGCATTTTTTAATTCTTCTTCATTGACTAGATTGTAAGTTCGTTCGGCAAAAGCCGCTACTCCCCCATCAATTTCCTCCGCAGAAATTTTACAACTGTAAGCCTCAGCAGCAATTTCCGCCGATAAGCCTTTACCAAGATAAGCATCAATTATAGTATTATCAGCACTATTATTTTCTATATAGGTTTTAAAGTCTCTTCGGAAAGTTAACTTTTCCTTTTTACTTGCTTGAGCATTTTTAAGTTGGCTAATTTCTCTATCAGTTGGCAATTTTAGGCTATTGTACTCATTTAAGTCTTTTTCTAATCCATTAATTCTATTAGTTATTAATAATTCATTCTCAGTAGTTTCAATATTTTCTCAATCTTCGATAGATCGGCTAATTTCCTCCGCTTCTCGTTCGATTAGAGATTGAGGATCTTTTTCCTGATAAGCATCAAGAATTAGTTTTTTAATTTCTTCTAAATCTGCAGAAGGAAAATTTAGGCTCGAAGCAGAAGTCGGATTGTAAGAAGCTTTTTCATAAGCCGCTTTCAGTTCCTTTCAGATATTAGCATTAGTAATTTCTTTAATTAGGTCATCGCATTTTTTCAAATTTTTATATCGTACTTTTCGTCTTTCATTTAAAACTTGTGGGTTGCCATCACTGAAATAACCATGTAAACCTCGAATTTGGGTATCTAAAACGCCTCCTTCTTCAAAAAGAACTGACTCTGTTCCGTT